TAAAACAATTTAAATTATTGAACTCCGCGTGATTGTGCCTATCGCATGGAAATTTGAACAGAAGTGACGTCAGATTTGCTACAGTGTTGAACTTTGGGTGGAAAAAGGGGTCTTACCTCAAATTTTATTTTGATCCCTAATTAGTGCCATTCGATAGTACACGTCGAGCTTTATTTTCAGTGTTCGAAATTAATATTTGCACTTATTTCAATGCCACCCTGTATAGAGCCCAGCAAACACGTTAGGTCCTCGTCCTCCTCTTAGATCATAGGCATACTCTTGGTACATCACTTTTGGCAGTTTCGCGAAGTTGTATAAAATATTCATAATACATCTTGTATACTTTCTCAAGCGAAACGGTAGCCATTTTTAACACCAGTGAATAATAGCAGTGAATAACCATAATTCACTGGTCTAGAGGTCCTAGAGGTACGCGATATAACATATAAGGCCTATTATCATTTGTATTGCTAAACTTGCTGAAGTTGATTTTGTTCTCATAGTTGTCTCTCTGTTCATGGCATGATGTAAACAGAGATATAGTCATGGAAAAAAAATTAAGTTCAGCAGGTAGGGCAAGCACAAACGAACTGGACTATAGGAACTTTAGACCAGTGAATAATTGTTATTTACCGCTATTATTCACTGGTGTGAAAAATGGCTATCGTTTTGCTTCAGGAAGTACAACAGTCGTGGACAAATGATTGATATAACAGGTATCTTCAATGTTTAGTTTTCGATCCTAATGTCAAATGATCGAGTTATGATGAAACAGTTGTTGAAGATAAATTTATATATCAAAATCAATAGTAGTCGTGGACAAAGTATAGTATTCTACTCGCATATATATAACGAGCTATTATTCACTCAGGTTTATTATGCCACTCGCTATATACCCTCGTTAAATAAAATTAACCTTCGTGAATAATAGCCCTCATTATATGCTTGTTGAATAATATACTATTTCATTATGATTACGCATATTTTAGGTAGGTATTTGTTCTGAACATGGTTACCTACTTTGAGACTTTGCTTTGTTAACAAAAAATCTCACTTGTAGGTAGTGATATTGATTTCATCAGGATAATAATAAATAACCACGATATGTCACGATTAGTGGATTATAAGAGATACGGGGTCGGTTAAATTATGGCAAAGTTGCGTATTTTTCATTTCCAACTGGAATATAGGTACACTCACCGGCAAAAAAAAACCGGCCACCAAATAATTTAGCCAAATAATTTGCTCTGTAACTTTTTCAATTCTGGTCTGATTTTGGTGAAATTTTTACCAAATCGTAGATTCATGTTTCCAAATGTTAGCCTGAATATTAGTTCCTGAGGAAATCTGATGACTCGATCATTATACAGGGAAAGACGAAAGTTACTTTTTCACCCTTAACTTCTTAACGCCCTGTGGGTAAGGTGAGGGATTTAACTAAGCTTCATTATGTTTAAGATCGAAGAGTGATCTCTTCTCTACATGATGGATTTTTATTCACGTCGATAACCACTTTTTGAAGTGTTTCAAGAGAGTATGGATTTTTAAAATTTTTATTTACAATTCGTTCCTTCTTCATACAACGGTTCTTGAATAACGTCAATATCCCCTTTTTGAGAGAAGAGAGAGAAGTGTTTCAAGAAAGTATAGATTTTTTTCAATTTTCAATAACAATAATTTAGAACCTATCTACCTATCTTCGGGGTGACCTCTAGAGGCTCATTCGCCTTCGGCCAGCCTTGTCAGATAGTCTTCAAGAGCTACGATTCACCCTTCAAGGAGGATTTTAGGCAATTCTTCAAGGCTACTTGAGTAATTTGATCAATTCGATGCCACTTCGGTTGAATGCTGTAATTCAATATCGAGGAGAGCATACTCGTTATTGACTACAGGTCTGCTTCTTGTTTGTTTTTTGTAATTGATTTTCCGGTGAGTGCTAAAAAAGTAAGGTGAAAATATGTGATATTATTCCTTGAAGTTGTTAATCCATAAGTTCATGTAGGGTCTGATTATTGCTGAAAAAAGTTGAAAAACACCATACTTCCTTAAAACACTCGTATCTTCTTTTAAAAATAAGATATTGACGTGAATCAAAAACTTTTGTGTTGAGAAGGGATCACACTTCAATCCGAAGCATAATGAAACCATGTTCAATCACGCAATTTTGCCACAGGGCGTTGAGAAGTATAGGGTGAAAGAGTAACTTTGGTTTTTCCCTATATAATTATCGAGTCATCAGCTTTTCAGGAAAACTAATATTTAGGCTAACATTACGGAACATGAATCTACGATTTGATCGAAATTTTACAAAACTCGGACAAGGATTAAAAAAGTTACAGGCTGAACAATTTGGGCAGATTTTTTTGAGGCCGGCGGTTTATTCTGCCGGTGAGTGTATAAATATCGAGAAAAAAGAGTAAAAATATAGTGTAAAGGTTCATACACAAGATGACTTTTTCGTCGACCTCTACAAAAAATCAAATCATGATTTTCTACCAAACAGAGTTATTGAACGGTCAATTTCCAAAATTGGCAGTTAATTTGAATCCACTATGTTTTCGAGGCTGAAAATGAAAAAATTAAGGCAATCCTTTTACCTTTTAATTTTGAATTGAGTAGGTGATTTTTCACACATTTAAGTACGAAAGCATTAGGAACAATAATAACACAGCATAGGAAAAAAAAATCGACCCCTTTTTATTTAAATCAAAAAGCACGGCACTGTCCAACAGGATGTTCTCTGAAAAACCGATCCAAATTTACTATAATAGCCGAGATACAGACGGGGGACGTTTAAAGTGAGCCACGCTATAGGTATAGGTTTAAAAAATCAAAATTTTGTCTTTTGGGTAGGGTGGATTTGAGTTTTAGTTGATTTTCACTAGAGGTCATTCATATGTTCTCATGTTCAGTTGAGTGAATATTTTTTGCATACGCAGATCAAATTAGTATACATTCATAAATGAATTATCAAATAATTTGTATTGATTCAAACACTTTGAAACTCTTATATAATCTTATATACACAGCTTATTCTACAGAAATTATTATTTTTTTGTTTCGAATTACTATACCTTCTATCGAGTGTTGCTTTCAAAGGCATATGCTATGATCTTATAACTTATAGTATTTAGTCGTTATTCAGGTATTAGGTACTATTTTTATAAACTCGTCTTAATCTCTAGACTAGTTGAATAGGTACCCAAAGTCTCTGGTCAATTATTGTTTTTTAATTATGATGTTCAAGTGAATATGAGTTTCTTGTGATATTCTGCCAGTTATCAGGTACCTGTACCTGTGGGCAATTTTAACCACGAAAATAAATCAATTGGTATATCTGTTTGGTATATACCTACCTTAAAACACTTTACACGGGTAAGTACACAAATGAACATTGGATTATTCTTTGATAAATGTATATACATATAAAATAAGTAATTAGAAAAAAACGGAAGAAAGTTAACAACTTTAAAGATTTGGTGTTTGCAATGAATTGAAGATATATTTGAGAGTTTTCAAGGCAAAGTATCGATAAAAAAAAAAAGGGTATATACAGCGCCGATTTAATAGCGACAGAGTATTCAATTGCTATTTCCTAAACGGAAAATAGATAGAAAAGTACATTATACATCACAAGGGACAGAAATGCAAGATATTCTCCATGGTGCGAGTTATGACTCGAGGGCGAAGCCCGAGAGATATACAATAAATCACCGATGGAAAAATAGCATTCTGTCCTGAGGTGTATCTATACTATTTTTTACGTTGATTTTTTCATGGAATATTTTGCTATAGTCTTTGAACTTTCAAAAGGACCGAAGGCCCGCAGTTAGATGAGTTGTTTCAACTGACTTAGCATGAACTTTACTACTCTCTATAATCGACTTACTCATTCAGAATCGGTAAAATCCAGGACCGTTTTTGAAAAATGTCGGTACTTGACTTTATATCTTATCCTGTATATGCCTTTTGTAAACTGTGACAGGGAATTTTCGGAGGTCACAAAGATTAAGCATCAAAAATAAAATATTCAAAATTTCGTTCACACTTCCACCAAATTTTTCACAAAAAAGATGAATTATAAGGAAAAACGAAAGTTTGGCAACAAATTTATTTATTCGAAAATAATAAATCTATTCCTGGTATTATTATATACAGTTCTTCATGACTCACCCTGTATATATCATAAATTATGAAGAAAAACATCAAAAACAATAAGTCTGTCGACCACAAAATCAAATAAAAACATGCGAGTGATTAATGACGGCTCAACGATCATCTTCTTGCAGAAATATGAAATAGAATGTAAAATTAAAAAGAAATGTATATTCTAGTGAATACTCAAAGATTCTACATATAATCAAGGCTACTGGGTAAGGAAATAGCCTACCTATGCTAAAGCAATGTGAATATTGATCGTTTTACGCCAAAAAATCAGTCCAGAAGAGAGCTAGCTTAAATTTTTATACCGGTGAATAACCTGAAAAACGATTGAATAATTATGTTTATGCACTTCAGGGATTTAAAGGGTACTTCAAATCCCTATTTTCAGGGAAAAAGTGGTACTTTAATTCCCTAGGGATTCAAAGTACATTTTAAATCCCTAGGTATTCAAAGTACCACCTTTTTCCTCGATATCCAGATCACCATAGTTACTGAGGTCTCTGATATGGTAACAATTAGCCCCTTCGATAACGTTTTAGAAATAGAGTACCTATACCGTGTATAGTGGCATTTAATTTTTTTTCCTTATTTTCAACATTTAACCTATCCCAAAGTGCATAAAATAGGACTAAAGTGTTTTTGAATCCCTCGACAATTATTATAGTCTTATATTTTTTTGTCTCGGGATTAAAAATACCACTAGTTCTTAGGTTTATAATGTACTATAAACATCAGGTACATTCAAACGGGGGAAACGAATGTTCTTGCTTTTGTTTTTCATTGAAAACTGGCCCACTCTGAGAGAGATGGATCCTATATACCTATTTTTATTTCAGAAAAAGAAAAAATGCATGGAGTCAAGCGGGTCATGCTTTTCTGCCTGATGACTGCAGTTTTACCAACAATTCTAATAATCACTCCGCTTTACCTCAGACATTATGTCTTCGCTGATGTCACATTGCAGGTTTGTTTTCATTTTTTAACAATCATTTCTTCTTTAAATTTAACATTGGAAGGACGCAAACTCTACTGGGTATCCCCATCTCCGGCACTTTCTCATAATTTTAGAGATAGAGGTTTTCGGTAAAATCGGAGCTAGCAAAATTTAAGCTCTTGGTTTTTGAGATATATTGAATAATTCAAACTTTATTATGTGATTAGTTTTGGGTGTTTCAATAACTCATAAGGGATTACAAATCCAAAGCAGTCTATATTGTGAATTAATATGGTTCGGCAGTGTCAAAGTTTTAAAGAAAATTAGTAAAATATATCTTAACCTGAAATTTCATAGATATGTACCTACATATAGAAATTTGATACAGTGGCGGTGTTGTTTGAAGCTTGCTTTCGTTGATGAAAACCGTGTTTATAATATTGAATATATCAAATAACCTCACTTTACAAAGTGACGTATTATTTTCTTACAATATTGATGCAAAAAAAATAATCTCGTTCATGGAGTCGAACGGATTATTGCTTGCCAGCACCCAGCACGGGTTTCTTCCAGGCAAATCTACATCAACCGCCATTAACCTTCCTTGGGAAAATTACGTGAGATCAATTGCTGAAAGTGCATCCCAAAAACTTGGTTTTCTGTTTCGGTCCAGGAGCTATTTCACTTCCAGTCAGCTGCTTATGATCTCAAAGGCACAGATCCGACCTGTCCTGGAATACTGTTCCCATATTTGGAGTGCAGCAACCAAACATACCCTGAAACTGTTGGATTCTGTCCAAAAGAGGGCAATTCGTCTAGTGGGTGATGCCTCGCTCACAAACTCACTCACTTTTCTGGAACACCGTAGACAAGTTGGCGATCTGGCCCTATTTTATAGATATTTTCATGGAAGATGCTCTTCTGAAATATCAACAATTATTCCTCCATTGGCAGTCTCCGCGAGATTAACCCGTCGAGTTGAGGCTTCGCACCCCTTCTGGTCACTTTGAAGACCTGCAGAAAATCTCTTTCCAAAGACTCTTTTATCCAACGAACAGCGAGGCTCTGGAACACATTGCCAAGGGAGGTGTGCCCCGAGGCATATAACCTCCAGAAATTCAAGAAGAACACCAATTCCTACCTTATTTCCCTTGGTTCTCACGATGTTCTCTGAACATTACAGGATATCCCTCTTCGTGGGAACCAGAACATAAAAAAAATATAGAAAAATAATAGCAAATGTTGATAACAAACTTTCAACTGTCGGTATCACATGTGACTTCGCGAAGGCTTTCGACAGCTTTGGAACTTTGAGAGATACTGTAGCAAAGCTGCATCATAATAATGATGGCATCCGTGGAATTGCCCTGAACTGGTTTATGATTCACCTATAAATGGTAGGGAGCAAAGGGTGGTCCTCACAACTGGAGATGATGAGAAATTATTCTCAGAATGGGGAGAAATCAGAAGTGGGGTACCGCAAGGATCGATATTAGGCCCCCTGCTTTTTCTCATTTTTATTAACGATCTTCCGAGTAATTGTGGGGAAGTAACGCCTGTGCTGTATGCAGATGATGCTCTTTTCTTTTTTTTTTTTTGATTGACTCGGCCGTTACTTGATATAAATCCATGGCAAATGTAAAAACTTTACAAACGATAAGATTTCCACAAAATTCTTAAACACACAACATGTTTCGCTAACACACTATAGCTTCGTCAGGTGATATACTGGTACAATAATTATGGCTCATTATCGTTTGTGAAGTTTTTACAGATGCTCTTTCATTGTTGAGAGTCGTGACTGAGCCTCTTTATAGAGGATACAATCACTGTCTGTTTGAACAATATTGTTGGATGGTGCCCAACAAATAAACGCTGAACGCTCCGCCTCGCAAATGCAAAATTCGCTTGTCAAACAAAGTGTCACTTTTGATCCTAATAAAACAATCTACTATTATTATGCAAACTTCAATTCATTGGGGAATAAGCTCCGATTGGCAGTCAGCTTTTGTGTTGCAAAAAACATTATTCAGAATAATGAAAAAACTGAAAAGAAGAGAGCCTTGTCAGGAACATTTTGTACGTACAGATGGAAATTCTCACTTTACCAAGTTATATACAGTGTGACCCACTTCTAACGGAAACACCAGTGTTTTGTGGTTTTTGGGGACACCCTGTATGTTTCGAAATAATTTTAAATGGTAGCCTATGTTGACATGCAACTTCCTAGAGGGGAAGAATTCCAAGAAGATAAGTGGGTAGCCTTCTAGAGACCGAGGCGTTACTGGTGGCCCACCCTGTATATTAATAAAATAGAGTACATACTTGGCATAGCAAACATTTTCATTTCAGTTCAGTATCTGTGAGAAATTTTGTTGATTTATCTCAAACCCTTTCGAACTTCTCATCAAAAAACAATATTCGGACTCTTATTTTCAACAACCTATATCTTGAAAACGACGCATTTTATTCATCAATAAGGTTCATGGCGAAGTGGTAAGGTTTCAGAACTGTGGTTTCAGGATTATTTCTTCTCTTTCGATGTACTAGGAATATTCTCAGAATATTTGAAACAGTCCGTACTGAATGTTCATGAAACGTCCCTAGAATATTTGTATCACATTGTGAGAATATTCTGAGATAATTCCAATATCCTCTAAGAATATCCTATGGACGTTCTATGAATGACATTGTGCTATCTGGGAAGTTATTCAGTTTGACTTCTTTTTGGAGGTGGCAGAGTCTGACGTGCTGCTCATCACCGAAGGTTACTCCTCCATCTTCTGCGACTCCTTGGTGCTTCGCATGAACTCTTCTTTCAACGCCTTCCAGCTGGTCGGCACGCCCAGGGTCAGCAAGACCAGGAGGCACATCAGATTGAAGAAGTCCATGTCGCTGCCGGATGATACTCTGGAGTATTGGGGGTTCTATTTGTTGAAGGAGGCGATGGTCAAGCTCAAGGTACGGGTACTTTATTGCACTTACCATGCGAAGTTTTTTTTTCGAAATAGTTAAGAACTTCGCATCTTCCTTTTCCCGTTTTCATCATTAGACATTTTATACATATATCACGATGCGTACTTATTCAATGGCACATTTTATACAGAGTGAATCATAACTATTGAGACATAGACTGAGGGCAGATTATTCAGACCAGAATATGGCTTAATGAAATGTTGCTGTAGTAAAAGATACTTGGCGTTGCAATCTAAAAGATATTGACTATAAACTTGAACCAAAATGTATTCACTGACAAGAAATGCCATTTACCAGCACAATTATCTGACAGTCCAAAGCACGCTCTGCATAAATGAAATGATATATCTGAAATCCAATTCCAAGACTTTGAACTGTTCAATTGTGTTTTTCACGAACACGGATGAAAATATCGTGTTTGAACGAGAACCAGTATTATATGTAGGAATGATGTTTATGTCATATTTTCTAGTCATAATAATCACTAAAAAGTTCAATCAAACAAAGTTACCAGTCGATTCAAACTGTAAAATAATATTCTCTGTATGATTTTGATAACAATTGATAATTATACAGTGAAATCATTAACAAAAAACGAAACAAAAATATTCAACTTCAACGCCCTGTATCTTTTTCCACAGCAATATTTTATCAATGCATATGTGGTCCTATTGGTCCAAACAATCCGCCCGTTAGCGCATGTCCCAGTATTTATGACCCATCTGTATATGAAAATCTACTAATTTGCTATTTTGTTCAGGAAACATTTTTTACTATCACGGGACTTTGAAATATTGTAGGCAAAAATTAAAAATTTCATATTTTGTAATATTGGCGACAATCGGAAGGCATTTTCAACTACCCAGGTCGATCTATCAATTGTGATACCTCAATCATAGAAATCATAGTCTGAGGATCAGAAAATATCCTGAATTTAAAATGTCACAACAAGACATTATTAATATTAAGTAATGACCCAATCCTGCATAATAACTGCCAGAAATTTTGGATGTTCTAGTTGGCTGTGCAACATTTTCACATAATTCCAATGAAGGGTTAAAAAAAACAGGCACATCTAAATTTCCAAAATTTGCTTAAGATCACTATTTTTTCGAGGCTGAAAATGAAAAAAATCAAGCCAATCCTGTTGATTCGGCATGAGACAATTTTTCGCATATGGATGATCGGAAGCATGAGGAACAATAAAATGGAGTTCGTTTTCTTGCAAACAATGCTTTCATAAAAATCGAGTCCTTTCCATTTTGATAAAAAAAGGCATTGTCCAAAAGAATGTTTGTCTCTGAAAAACTGATCATATTCATACCGGTCCAAATTTGGAAAGAATCGCACGACTAATGGTTAAGATATATGTATTGGGAGGGCCCCCCCCCCTCGGCGTTTAAAGTGAGACAAGCTGTAGATCAGGTTTACTCATGAAGATATGCCCTGTTTATTCTATAACACCCTATATATGACATGTATAATGTTTCAAGAATACAGTGCACTAATAGGAATGATTATTTATAGTAGAAGTATAGTTGGTGGCAGAGCGTCAATATTTTCGTGAATATTCCGCCCTCGTCGAAAGAAAATATCCGATGGACCAGTGTGAAACTAATGTGGTGCTCAAGCTACAATTATTCTAATCCACATGTTGCGTCTTCCTCTGGTTCTTTGGATATCATCTTCAGAGGGGCCCGAAATATTCGAATAGTAGCAGCAGAGATCAGTCAGCTGACTGATCTCTGGTAGCAGCGAATAAATCGCAGTGCCGTAGATTTGGCTCAGACTGAGGTTTTTTTTGTCGAGGTGGTTTAAGTTCTTTATGGACACCATATGGGTCTAATCCCCCATATGATAGCGTGGGACTCCCCTGACTCTAGCCAGCGTTTATCCACTAAAATCCACCCCGTTTGTAGACTCGTCTGACCATGTCTCCGACGACACTTAGGCCTATGGTGGCCCATTGTATCTTACCTAGTAGTTATCTTTATTGTGCCCACTCCATTATCTCTGTACCTTGAACAATAAGTCTGTACGAATCCTTCACTGGACGTGAGTTGAATACTTCTGGTTCGCCAACTGGTTGCCCAAAGATCTTCTGTCTTCTACGGTCCAATGCCTCACATCGGCACAGTATATGTGCTACTGTTCCTGGTTCCATGCCACATAGTCTGCAGCTTGGGTCGCCATTATAGAGTCCCATTCTCGTGAGGTGCTCCTTCATGCACTGATGCATGGCAAGATGCATGGCCAGTCATGAGTCCCGTTACAGTTTTTATCTGTGCTCTTTTCAAGTTGGGCAGGTCTACAGTTCGTTTTATGACTTGGTTCCTTATAATGTATTGGTTCCCATATCTGTTTATTGGGATATTTTCCCAGTAGCTCTTATGTTTTGCCTGAATCCAGTCTTTAACTGACACTCGTGCTGTACGTTTTGGTACTCCAAGAGTCTGTCCTGGATCTGGCTCGTTGTCCGACCCTCTTCTTGCAAGTTCGTCAGCCTCCTCATTGCCAGCGATCCCCTGATGATGACCTGGCACCCAGATTAGCTTGACGCAGTTCCGGTCTGCCAGCCAGACTGAGGGGTGGCACAGGTTTTTGAAATCTACAATTCAATTGGTATCGGATGGCATAACTCTTATCTCGTTATCAAAATCGAGTGCACATTTATGCACAGGAGAGTGCATGTTTTCATTCATTTTGCTCAGGATAGTGATTGGCACAGGTGCCGTTCGATAAACTACAATGTTTTACATGCCTTTGGGACATATATTATTTCGTTATCAAATGACGGTCTAAATTTGCAGCCGGATCTTGGACTATGATATGAATAAATTATGATAATGTTGATTCGAAATGAAAAATTAACCACTATTAATGATTGGGGATATAACTCAAAATAATCTCTCTAGACAGATTTTTCAAGCATAGTAATAGTTATTTATGTATCAAGGGCGTATAATAGGCTTGTATGGACCGCAGCGTGAAAGTAATAGACCAAGCGATAGCGAGGGCTATTAACACGCCTAGGTTCATAAAAGCTAGTTACACCCGAAATACATACAACATTTTATGCACGACCTGTATATATTTGATATCTCATGTAGGTATCTCTTCACCCCTCAAGCACAATAAAAATACATCACGGTTGCAGTGAGACTGTATTGTATCCATATCGCAAATACAATTAATCAAGAAGTATGGAATCAACGGTACCATGGCAACTCAGTCAATTTTTTTTTTTTTTTTTTTTTTTATCGATTGGAGCGCACGAAAGGGAATCCCTATAATGTTCAAAGAACATCGTGCGTTCCTAGGGAGGATAGGGACAGGAGGTAGGTATTGGAAGTTTTTTTGAATTTTTGGAGATTATATGTTGTTGGGAATACTTCCACAGGCAATGAATTCCAGAGCCTAGCCGTTCTATGGATGAAGGAGTTTTGATAAAGTGCTGTTCGGCATCTTTCGAGGTTGACAACGAAGGGATGTGCTGACTGGGCTTGTCTAGTTCGTCTGACTGGTATTGCTAGTGAAGGGATGATAGCAGAGATTTCCGAAGAACATTTCCCGTGGAAGTATCGATAGAAAAGTGGAAGGTCGCCGACCTTTCTACGGTGTTCCAATGATGTCAAAGAGCGAGTGAGTGTGGCGTCACCCACCAGGCGAATGGCTCTTCTCTGGATGGAATCTAAGAGCATCAGCGTATGTTTTGGTGCTGAACCCCATATGTGGGAACAGTATTCTAGAAATAGTAGAAATAGGAATTAATAGGCCAGTAGCCATATTAACTGTCAATTTGTGTAATCATACATAATTCATTAGTGATTTCAAAATGAATTCTAGTGATGAAGAAAGTGTGAATTGTACTCCACCAGAAATTAGTGAGGCAGCTGAGGAATCAAAATCGAGTTTATTGCCAAGTGAATCAAAAAAAATATACGACAAAGTATACGAAGAATTCGTAAGCTGGTGCGATATATGGCAGTGACATTAGCTTTACCACCAGCCCAATGACTTTATCGCCCGCCGGGCGGTAAAGTGCCACTTTACGCCCGCAAACCCGGGCGGTAAAGTGCACTTTACGGCCCGCTAGTGCATAAAAATACTTTTTGTGTCCCAGGTGTGTTCTCGACACGAAGGGTCTCGTATCTTAGTAGTGAGAGGTGAAAAAAATTTGGAAACTTGTGGACTCTTGGAACATAATTACCAGAAATATGGCGCCAAGATGGATGCAGAATACAGAGAAGTGAAAGTATTCGATGAAGAACCAGCCGAAATCCTAGGTAAAAAAAGGATCAACTTATACAGGGTGAGTCATTGAAGTGGGGATGCTCAATTGCACATATACCGTTAATGATATCGAAACGAACCAAACGGCTCTGCAAATAGGAGGTCAGTTTGCTAAATTATGTTGCCAATTACAGGGTATACAATTTTTGCGGAGCAAACTTCAACATGTTGTTTTTGATAACAGCTTGTTTTAAAAATCCGTTTCGTTTTTGCATTTCGCCTAAAATTATAGAAACCAATGTAAGTCATTTTTTGGTTTTTATAATATATGCACATTGTCACATGCCTTCGTTTGTAGTAACTTCTAAATACGGCTGAAGATGAACTTCTATAAATCCGAAACACGTTCCTATAAATGATTTACATCAGTGTAATAATAAAGTAGTGGAGATGACTTTGAGCTTCCCTTCTTTCTTTCGAGAAAATTATCATTTCCAAAAAATATTATCTGCCTGCTTTCGGGTTAGATTGTTAACTTGATTTACTAATGAGAAGAGTACCTGACATTAACTGAAATTGACACATTGCGCCTGAGCAACAAAGCAAAATCATCTATCAAAATACCAAGAAAAACCGTGCAATCGCTCGTTTTACGCACTTGTGCAAGGAGAAGCTTACTGACATTGTTTTGTGTACAGTATTCGTCACTTACAACATTAGTCGAAGGAAAATATCATTCGTTTCCAAGTCACTGAAAAGCTAAAAATCTGAAGCTGAACGGTACTCTAGAAGAGTACCTCCCACTCCCATGCAGTAATGAATTTGCGCCTTCGAAGTGCGCAGCTGATGTTAGCTTAGATGTTCGTTTTTTTCTTCTCATCACCTGAATGATCCGAGATTTACATGTCTCAAAAGACGGATACTGGATACTGATAATAATTATCCAAGGTTCAGACGTATATAGAGTTTGAAGTCTCAATTTTTCGATATTTTGAACAGTTTTTGTGATGATCTTATCTCTATCGACTTGTTATACGTCAATAAATAATTATTACATTTCTATTGTTTCGACATTTTGAGCTTCTTTAGTTTTTACTTGATTATTTTTTTTACATGTCAAAATGTGACGTTTTCCTTGTTTCAACCAATATCAATGCGTGATTCTAGCCAATCATTCGGAATCATACTGATAATTTGTTAGTATCAAATTACCGCGATGACTTATTCACGTTTGGATCTTCCTTCAAATGGATACAAAAAGGGACCCATAGACTGCGATGTTGATAGGCTGTTTTGTTCGACTAACAAGTCTGTTCGAACAAAAATTGCGCACAACCGAAGTGTGTGGCTGTAAAATGTTCGTTTTCGCTGGCCACACACTTTAGTTTTGTGTCTTTTTTGTTCGAACAGACTTGTTCGACGAACAAAACGGCCTACCAACAACGCAGTCTATGGGGCACCTTTAGAGAATTAGCATTGACTTGACTTGGTTGTCAAGGTAACGCAGCTATTTGTCTCAATGTAAACATTTCGAATTCAGAACCGACGCCATTGTTAAGTATCAGTCAGACTTCGTATTTTGTGATTTTCTCTAACGTTTAAACGAGTTGGTATAGGTTCGGAAAAACTTTACAATTATTATTAGTCATTAACAGAAACCGACATGAGCACGAGATTTGGTCAAAGCTCGGCTGATTCAATACATTTAGCTGTCGAACAAGCAACACCAATCAACACCACAAAAAGCAAGAATACGATATGGAAACAGTTTTTGGAGTTCTGCCTTGAACGTAATTATGAGTTGACTGCAACAACCGAGATGAAACAAATCGCATCAATTATGGAGGACTGGGCATATAACATGCGAAAAAAAAATGGAGAAAACTACAAAGAATCTGTTGTCAAAACTTTGTGGAATGTCACCGCAAAACTTATCCAGGAAAAATATTTCAGGGAGTATAATAGAAACATTGATCCGTTCACTGATATTGAATTTAAGACCGCGCGAGATGCGCGGAATTGCAAACGTCGAGAACTTCAACATATTCCTGAAAAAAGAAAAGCATCTTCTGTTGCTCTCAAGAAAGAAGAAATAGAAAAAATGATAGCAGCATGGGACGAAAATACTCCAAATGGCTTACAAAGGAAGTTTTATCATACTGCTAGCTACGAATTGGCTTGGAGAGGCGGAGAAGCGACAAAAGCATTAGTACAGTATTTTAGAGAAGAAATGGATCATTATGGAAATCAAACTGGAAGGATAGAATATAATCCAATAATTTCTAAAACAGCACAAGGAGGATCGCACAGGTTATCTGATAGCAAATTTTTAACGCCAAATGAAAATGAGACTGAAAAATGTCCAGTACGTCTCTTTCGGAAGTTAATGTCGAAAAGAAGTGCAAATATTCAAATTGATCGTTTATTTTTAACACCTAATCCAAATTGGCAGCAACCTTTGTCTAAGGGGTGGTACAAAAATCTTCCGGTAGGACAAAATGAAATAGCAAAATGGACAAAACAAGCGGCCCGAAAGATTGGCTTGGATCCTAGCAAAATCAAGGTTACAAACCATTCACATCGTTCTTCTGCTGTGACACAACTCGCTAAAAGTGGAGTAAGTGAGCAGCAGTTGTTGAAGATAACTGGACATTCATCTGCAAGCTCCATCAAACCCTATCTTCAACTTGACAAAGAGCATCACGCAAGCATGATAAACAACTTGAGAGGAAACACTGTTTCGACCTCTTCATCTCAAGGAAATTGTACAATAACATACAATAATTGCACCATTACAAACGTAAATTGTAAACATTCTTGATTGTTTGATATATAATTATTTGATATATAATTGTTTGATATATAATTGTTTGATATATAATTGTTTGATATATAATTGTATGATAAATGATTGTTCAATAAATAATTGTTTAATAAACATATTCTGGGGCATTTTGCGAAATAGTAAAAAAAATAATCACGCCGAATTACATTCGTGTTGGTTATTTTTTTAAATAATTTTAACTAGATTTAGCACTCGTCTTTGTTGCTATTGAGAAATCCCACTCGTGGACTTCGTCCACTCGTGAAATTTCTATAGCAACAAAGATTCGTGCATCTAGTTAAAATTATCAAAAAATTACCACCACTTGTGTAATTACTGTTGATAATTTCTTGTCAAACATTGAATGACACGTCGTCCTTAGCAGTAATTCTGCCGTTTGCATTTGGAGTTTATTCCTTTCATTGCACTCTCATAGTTTAATCAATGTGTTTGATTTTCAGAAAATATGAATAATCTTCTGAACTGTCATCTTTTCGATAAAAAATATGATATGAAAAAAATGGGATGATGAAAACCAAGATCTCTGCGATTTTTTGAAAAAGTACCTGCAAAACGCATTGATTTTTAGAAAAAAAAATTCTCAACAGTTTGAGCGAATTCCAAAAACTAAACGGATTTATAAAGCCTAATGAGAGACGAATTCAAATAAATATAAAAATGTACAAGGTGTCATTTGAAAAGGTTTGCTCCGCGATAAATCATTGACGGTGTATGGTATAATCGAGATTTCACATTTCAACGATTCACCCTGTATGTACCGGACTGTAAACGTTGAGTCGTTCGATATAACATTTTCAACCCGAAAATGATTCTGCTAAACCGGGTGACATCACAAAACTTGTTTGTTTCCAAATATGAGGTGTTTCAAAATTCGGTATCAAAATAATGTCAGTGGCTAGTGGCTTATTTTTCATACAGGTCCAATTAATACTTTTCAATCACTCTTTCATTTTAGCTCCACCTGTATGTATGTACTCAATTTTGACCCACATTTGAACGAACCGATTGCTTTGGCAGGTGTACATTAATCTGGTGGCAACGCATCAAAAAATTTTCGTAAGGCATAGAAACGAAATGGCGGCTCCGACAGGGCGGACGAGCTTTGTAATTATAATCAAAATCTATGTTTATTTGTAACTGGCGATTTTCGGGGTCAAAGATTATGATTCTTTCGTCAAAATCTTAAAATTCATGATGGCAGATCCAATATGGCGGACATGTTTTGTAATTATGATCCGATTTTAGTCAAAATGGGTATCTGGGGTTTAAGGGATCGGATATTACGATTCATTCATCAAAATTGGAAAATTCAAGATGGCGTGCCCAATATGGTGGACGATCTTTATGATAACATGATCCGATGCTTTTCAAAATTGGCATCTGGAGGTTTTCGGGGTAGGTGATTATGATGTTTTTGTCAAAATTGGAAAATTGAATATGGCGGACGGGTTTTGTAATCATATGATCCTATTCTATTAAAGATTAGTATCTGGGGGTTTCCGGGGGTCGGAGATTATGATTCTTGCATCAAGATTGGGTACTTACAAAAAATATAAATAATAAAATAATATATAATAAAAAATATAAAAACACTTGAATGAATAGAGCTTTTGAAGTTAGTCGAACTAAAAAATGGAAAATAAACAGTAGTTTGAAAAAACTAAAGAAACACCCTTTCATAGATAGCCAAACTCAAAAGAAGTAGAAAATAAAATGATAAAAGTGTGTTGATAAATACACAACATAGAATAATGTACTTATATATTACGGAGGTGCTAATAATATTTTGTATTATGTATTATTTTTCAATCATTATACCCATATATCAATGAATGAAATAAAATTATAAAATTCAACAGAAATACTTTTCTCAATGTTGGGGGTTATTATAGTTCATATTGTAAAGTTTGATATAGCAATTGTAAACGCCTGTTTAGGGTTAAAGAATAAAATGGAGATCCTGTTTCTTACATTTTTCGAAACCAATGTTATCCTCATATACATATATTCAATAAAAATGATTGAAAAACTACAATCAGAGGTTGAGGCCCCATTTCAAGGCATTATCTTCAATGTCTCGAAACTATATAGGATTTTCCATGTATTTTTTGGCCACCCAGTATATTTCATCAGTTATGTTATCGGTACCATTTTGTTTCACAGGAGAACTGGAATTTGATCTTCCAGAGAATAATGCCAGCGAAAATATGACTGATGATGGAGAAGCTAAAAAGAGATTACTGTCAGGTCTCATCAGAAAAAAAGAAAAAAATGAGACAATATCACAAAACCCACCACTAGATGCAATGAAAGTTCACAATGACAAAAATATGGATAATACGAAGGTCAGACACAAAAAAAGGCATACAAGAAGGAAGAAGATCGAGGACCTCAAAAAAATATTGAATGGTAATATAATTATATTATAGCCTGTTGATTATTAATTATACATAACATTGAATGCCCTAACGCACTACCGTAGGGTACTCCAATTCTATGTATTTTTCACTTGTTCTGATATAAACTGCTCAACACGTAACGTAAATTCGACCAACTTCAATTCATCGTATCTTCCGACTGCGTCAACCGATTTTCTCTTTTCAGTTTTTGAATGTTCGTTTCATTGACTTTCGAGCCTATGGAAATTATTATTGCATCTCGTGAGAAAGAGACTCTACAGGATATGATAATAGAAGCTGTGCAATTTCAAATTTTTTCTGAAAGTGAAGTGAAAAACCCTCTATTTTTAAGAAATGGTTTTAGATTTTTTGGAGTTATCACACTCATTTCTGAAATATAATAGTATATTATGTAACAAGTGTCATAAACGTCCTCTTAGTAACGAGTATTTTAAGCACGAGCGGAGCAGAGCGGAGCGAGTGTTTAATAAACGAGTGTCTAGAAGAATTTATAAACGTGTTACATACTATGCTTTTTCTACGAACTCCGAAAATTACGTTAAAATATCTGCTATTCCTGCTAACCTACAAAATAATTCGAATGGAATAGGAATTGACAACATAATACATGCAACTGCATGCAACCAGCGAGACACGTATAAGTGATATTGGTTGTAGATGTGTCCAGTCCATTGCTTACTAACCTTTGTTTCACGTTTATTGTCATGCTTAGCGCAGAATAAATAAATTGTTCTCAAAGATGGATGCTTCATTTTTACACTTCCTGGAGATATGCAAGTACCAGAACATTCTCTTCGATTTCTTTTTCGGATACATTTCGCATATATTTTCAATGAAGAATTCTGATACAAACGAATATTGTTTGAATAATCCTGATACAAAATTCGAAAATAACAGAGTTTACAGTTAATACAATTGACAGCCAAGACATGTCTCAAATTACTGAAGCTGTGTTTAATGAACTGCGTTGCCATAGTAATGTGTTTAAGAAATCGTGTTGCCATGGTGACGTGTTTAATATTTTGAATAAATCACAGATCGACAATCCGTGATTAATCGATCATTTAGCGTGGTACATATCCGTACGCTAAATGCCATTTTAGTTATGTGAGTAGAAAAATATTTTTATAAGTGAATGCATATAAACTGATGCTCCTATTTCTATTGACTGTGTGTGTTCTTGTCATTCTGGTTCAAACGGTGGTCAACAATCTGGAAATTATACATAATCAACAACAACCTACACCTATCTATAGTTTCAAATATCCATTATATAGTACGATTACGTCTCTAAAACGTACTAGTTATACGTACTGGGGACGTCCAGATTAGGACCGTAGACGTTACTATAGGTACGTACTGAGGACGTCCAGATTCCACGCACCCGAATCAACGTAGATCCGCTTTTTTTTACCCAGATAGTCAAAAAAGAGATCCAGACATAGTATATAAAATCTCATTTTGAATAATGAATAAAAAAAGCGCTCCTACCGGGGATCGAACCCGTGACCTTTAGATTATTACCGTGCCATGGTCAATCAAAATGGAGAAGCTATAGTTATAGTAGGCACCGAGCAGATGCTCTACGTATTACTCTACAGAACATGCATTGATATATCAGTAAATAAACAACAAAAGATTATCTGCGAATGTCGATTGATCCTTCACATTGATACTTTCACCACGGCAGAAAATACCTGTTTTGAGTTGAATTACCAAATGGCAACAAAATTCGAATCATAAATGCCAAGTTTACTTCGACTAAAAAAAAGGTAGAGTGTAATTCGGTGAGACAATTTAATTCATTGTCATGTTTTCAAAAGTTAGGTTCCGTTATTGTCGCTGCAAAAGTTAGGGCAAACTTTTTTTACTGTCCATAGTGACAAAATCACGCGACTTGTGGAATTTTTCATACATGAATTAAATTGTCATTAAAAAATGAACTCAATCCCGTCCACAAAAAGTGTATAACATCCAGAGTTGGACGTAAGTACACAGAACATCGCGCGGAATCGTACGTACCCAGTAATACATCTGGAAATGGACGTTTCAGTACGTCTTGAAAAGACCAGGACGTTCAGACCTTAATCGGACCTAAAATGAGCGTCCCCAGGACGTCGAGTGCTATATATGGGTTGCAAATCTGAAAATATCTTCGCAATTTTCAGACCGAAAAAAAACCTGCGTTCAAAAAGAAACATCTCCCCTCTGGACGTTCACATCAAACACGGCGGCAACGTGATGAACTACTCCAACGACGTGGACGTCGAGAGCAACAGCGTTTAGAGCTTCGAAACTGACCTCCTCAGGTGTTACGACACCAAAATCCTGCTCACCAGAGGAACTTTTTTCTATTTTCGTCATCCCTGTATATTCATTCTTCCTTATTTGTCTCGAAATTACATTTTGAACATACTTTGTCACAAAGTGAGGAACGAAACATCGGAAATCCGGTAGATTTGATCTCACAACAGATTCTGTAGTTACCTTATTTAACATAGTGAGGACACATTCACCTATATGCTTTCAACATCAGAAAATATCTTAATCGATTTCCTCACAAATGAGAATACTTTGAACTTTTCTTGCTCGTCACAACACGGGTTTTCAATACGTTTTGTTTAATTCAGTGGGCAATTGTTTGTCGGAGACCACTCTTTATCAATGAATATGTTGATTATGTATCATTTCCAGACTGTTGACCACTCTGTTTGAACCAGAATGACAAGAACACACAGTCAGCAGAAATTAGAGCATCAATTATTCATGCTTTCACATATAAAAATATTCAGTTTTCAGTAATGATGAGTGTGACAATTCTAAAAATTCCAGGAATAATTTTGTGAAATTTTCTTTTCTATCTTGAGTCAAAATGAAACGAACTTTCAAAAACTAAAAAGAAATTGAATCAAAACTGATCGAAAAATATCGATATGACGTTTTGAGTAGTTTATATAAATATTTTTTAAACTTTAAATACTTTATTTGATTTTACCACATTACGTACACTGTACATTTGTAGCAGTTCAAGGAGTTAGAACTATAAAAAAATAGAACTGTAAATAAAATGAAGTTAAAAGACAAACAATAAAAAGTTAAAAGACAAACAATATGAAAATATTGATACAGATTAAAAATAGAGAACAAATATGAAAAAAAATATAAAATACAGGTACATATTGATAGAGCGACTTCATTCATATTAATACTCAAGCCAGTAGTTCCTCATGATCAGTCTGAAAATATTCTTCCAGTGAGTAGAAGCAATGTTCCAGGAGATATTGCTTCTTTTTGATGAAACAGAGATTTTTAATTCTATGAGGCAATATATTGTAAATGTTGTAATCCAAGGAGTTTTTCTGAGATACAGAAAGTCAAACCGAGGATTACGTATCTTCATCGCATGTCTGGTGTCATGGTCATGAATATCACTATGAGTTCTGAGTATATGTTAGATTGTTTGTGAACCTCTGTTTGTGTGTATAGTATCTGTTGTTCATTTAAAATTACTATTTTCTGTTGTTCGATCAGTGACAGTTACTGTTATCTAATAAGCAACAATTCCAATTGGCGTTGCAATAAGAACTTTGCGTTTTGTGATGACACTAATGCAATAATTTTCAGTTCCCTTTCACCTATCTATAGTTTTAAATGCCCATCATATAGTACGATTACGTCCCCAAAACGTACTGATAACGTCCGGCCAAGACGTTTCGTACGTACTGGGAACGTCCAGATTAGGACCGTAGACGTTACTATATGTACGTACTGGGGACGTTCAGATTCCGCGCACCTGAATCAACGTAGATCCGCTTATTTTACTCAGATATTTGAAAATGAAATCCAGGCAGAGTAGAAAACATATCATTTTGAATAAAGAATAAAATAAGCTCCCTACCGGGGATCGATCCCGTGTCCTTTAGATTACTGTGCATTGTCGATCTAAATGGAGAAGCTAGTTAGTAGGCACTCGATTGATATATCAGTATATAAACAACAAAAGATTATCTGCGAATGTAGATTGATGCTTCACATTGATAGTTTCATCACCAAAAGGCAGAGAATATCTGTTTTGTGTTCATGTACCTCCACTAAAAAATGAATTGGGTGAATTGTATTATGTTCATGTTTGCGAGGTCTCTATATGAATAGATATCAGAGATTCGATGATAAAAATTATATGCGATGATTCCAATGGGAAAGACCACTGAGGGAAGAAATCCGTGCAAACCTCTCTCAATCGACGAATCATGATTTACATTTTATGTACAATCAATATTATGAGTTGAAGTTGAAGGGAATCGAATCTATATCGTTTTGAAATCAGCATATTTCATTCGATATTTCAAACAGCCAAATATGATGGTGAAGTCGTCGTGACGTATTAGTCCCGAACTGTAGCTATCTCTCTCTGATACCTCGTCATTCTGCAGTGTTGCAGTGTAATTGGTCAGATCACAGACAATAGGCGTGTTGGGACTAAGACGTCGCACCAGTCACACCAATGAATTGATGAAATTTCAAATGGAGCAGGAATTGTGTGTTTTGAAATGGACATATACTAATTTATTTTATTCATCGCCTTAGCATGAATGAAAAAATTCAAAATTAATTCACTGGTAGTTTTTCAGTATAGAGTTCACGATAATGTCGTTTTAAAAAATCAGTGGTCTTCCCCATTATCATTATAAAATGTAGTACGACGTATAGGTACCCAGTGGCGGAATCGTACGTACCCAGTACGTCTGGAAATGGACGTTTTCAGTTCGTCTTAAAAATGCCAGGGCGACGTTCAGACCTAAATCGGACCTAAAATAGACGTCCCCAGGACGTCGAGCGCTATATATGGGCTGCAAATCTGAAAATATCTTCGCAATTTTCAGACCGACAAACCCCCCTGCGTTCAAAAAGGAACATCTCCCCTCTAGACGTTCACATCAAACATGGCGGCAACGCGATGAACTACTCCGGCGACGTGAACGCCGAGAGCAACAGCGTTTCGAGCTTCGAAACCGACCTCCTCAGGTGCTACGACACCAAAATCCTGCTCACCAGAGGTTTCGTGCCCAGCTACCATTGCAACGACAGCGACTATTTGGGAAATAGCGTGCACATGGTGACGCACCACACTGTCGCTTCCGACGGGTATTATTACTATATTTTCTACTCTGATAACGATTTCGTGAAGAACGAGATTCATGCCGTGTTTGATATATACAAACCGACTTACAGGTGAGTGAGATATTCTTGCGCTGTGATATAAAAATTGATCTGTGACCCATTATACGACCAGACTACCCTTAAAAAATCTAGAGTTCTCGACTGTTCTGTCCATTTTTTTTTTTGTTTCTGTAGAAAGAGTATCAAAAAATCTACGTCAACACAAATTTGCAAAATATATTTCCAATTTTCAGGGCATATACTATGTTTTTTTCACGTTGAAAATTCGCGAAGTATGATTAGCAATATTTTCAATTGAGCTTTTTTCTACCTTGAACGAAAGAGAGGAAAGTGCTCTCTTCTTCCATCTTTCTCTTCAATGCTACCAACTTGGCCGCATTGACATATAGAGAGGTCCAAAAAATCTTTCCTTGTTTAAAGTCTGGGTCACAGAACTATTATTGATGTTATAATGATATTCCCTTCTGGACTAACTGACATTATATCACTTGGACTGAACTGAATCAGTTAAAATCGAGGTTAAAATGCATTCTGACTAATCAAATTGGAAAGAGCATATAATAACTGATTCGGATTCAGTTCTAGTGAGATATTTCAGTTAGCTCAGATTATAACCTTTAACATTCTTTAAATGAAATTACAAATGATATCATACTTATTTTGACATATTTTGTTAATATCGTTAATTTGACACTCTGTTGAATTCAAAAATAGTTCAGTGGCACAAACTAGATGTTAGACAAGGAAAGATTTATCGGACCTCTCTATATTTCAATGCAGCCACGTTGGTAGCATTGAAGAGGAAGGTGGAAGAGGAAAGAACTTTCCTCTCTGTCGTTCAAGGTAGAAAAGAGCTCAATTGAGTTAATCGCAAAATTTAATTGACAACAAAGTAATAACAACATCAACTTTCGTGTAACATGCATATGTATATATTTCAGAAAAAATTCTGAGAACATTGTCAACAAAAATGTTGGAACTCATTATTGAGGATTCCATAGTAGACCTTCAGATTATTTATTTATTTATTTATTTATTTATTTATTTATTTATTTATTTATGTGCAGGCCCCCTAACAGGCGCAAGCCCAATGACAAGGAGGCACATATTACAAAATAATACATACATATGCGTACCTAAATCTAGAATCCTAATAATAAACAGAAAATAAATATCTATTATGGGTGAACATTTTGTGAGTTATAAATGCAGTTATAATAATTGTGCAAAAAATAAAAGATACAAAAATTAATTAGGAAAGAGAAATGATAGCAAAAATACACATGCAAACAAAGTAATAAGTTCGTGTAATTCATCAATGATACAAATAAGAACTAATCCAATAGGAGAGGAAAAAAAGGAGAAGAGAGAAAAAGAAAGCCATACGAACGTATGCAAAACTTGATCAATTCATCACATTCATCAGGGGAGAGCAACATACATCGATACAAGAAGTTCCTTCAACTTTTTTTTTTATGGATTTTGAGGCACGAAATATATCAATAGAGGAGTCGCTTACCATGGTTTTAAATGTTATGATACAACGTGTGATGGGTGCATTGCCTGAGTAATTATTCGTGTAGTGAGGAATTTGGAAGGTTTGTTTAACACGAGTGTTATAGGGGTTACATCTAAGATAGAAGCGATCAGTTAAATGTGGACAGTCTATAAGATCATTGAAAATTTTGAACACAAGATAAATGTCAATAAAATCACGTCTCATGGTGAGATACTCTAGCCTATAAAAAGTCAGATTACTTTGGTATGAAAAGTAATGTCTGTACCGATGAAACCTGTAATTGAGAACATTGACGAGCTTTTTCTGAACAAATTCGATGCGTTTAATGTATTTATCATACGCAGGATTCCATATAGTGCTACAGTATTCAAGTGTTGGCCTGACTAACGAGTTAAAAATTTTAATCACAGATCGGTAGTCCTGAAACTCTGTAGTGCTTCTTAGAACGAAACCTAGGGTCCTCAAAGATTTTTGCACAATATGTTCAATTTGAGCTTCAAAAGAGAGTTTGCCATCAAGCCTCACTCCCAAGTCAGTCACCTCAGAAGCTACATTGATGGGGACATCATTCAATTGTAGTTGAATCATAGTGGGGTTCAGATTTCGAGTGAAAGTAATCTGGTGACATTTCTTTATATTCAAGAAAAGCCGATATGTGGCACAATACTTGGTGAAATTATTTATATCAGTTTGTAACTTTAAAATATCCGAATCTTCGTTAATGTATTTAAAAATTTTGATGTCGTCAGCATACATGGATATTTTGCAGTGCTTTAGGTATTTTTCAGCGTCACTGAGAAATATGCTGAAAAGCAGAGGACCCAGATGGGATCCCTGTGGTACTCCGGATGTTATACTATAAGATCTTGACGCACAGTTATTAATAGCCACGTACTGACTTCTATTACTTATGTATGAGGAAAGTAACTGAAGCATTATGAAATAGTAATAATTTTTTATCTCAATTTTTATGCTGAATTTCGGTAATGTGAAAAAATTTGTATTCAGGAGTGTGAAAGTAATAAACGGAGTCGCTTACTGTTACTGTTTTATTACTTTTTCATTAGTAATTATTTTTTCAATATCATCTCCGGCATCTCCTGAATTGAAAATTGTGAAATTTTTTCATAAAACAGGTATGACTCTTGTTTGACCTTGAATGCTCAGCGAAAATCAATATAATTTCAACATAATATATAGCATGCCGAAAATCATTCATGTTGAGAAAAAAATGTATGGTCAAAAAAATTGATTTTACATTTTGATTACTTCAATCTTCTTTCATATTATTTATTTGTTCAGATGCTATACAATACAGAACTTACCAACGAGGTATATATTTTCCCTACGACCTTTAATTAATATACGGATTGAAATAGTAATGACTCAAAAAAAGATAAGACTTGATGAAATACCATTATCCCGTTCTATAAACATATATGCTCCAAAATGGTTCGTTATTGAGATATAAGGCGTTGAATATTACTTTTTTTCATTTACATCACAATAAGTATTTCAATGTCAATAATAAATACTGCACTGCACTGATATTCTAGGCGGAAAGGACGAAATAATAATATAATAATGTTCATTTCCACAGAAATACAAATACAACAATTTCAAATATAATTCATCATATTATGTAATTTTGAGACCTGAATAAAAATATTGAGATCAAAGATCAAAGTAATAAAATTGAAAGCATTAATGAAAAGATTTTTGATACAAAATAAAAGAAAAAATAGTCCATTCTAAAATATCAATTGTCCTCTGCATGTATAATTCATAAAGGTTATAAACAGTGAAGGTCATATACTAATACTCATCTTTGTGGTACATTTTTTACCTTTTCATTTTCTTTTCTTATCTCTTTGAGCGCACGAAAGGAAATTCCAATAATAGTCCAAGAACATCGTGGAGAAGGGATAGGGAGAGAGGAGGTATATGTTTGAATTTTTTTTTAACTTATGGCAATGCCTGAAAAATAAACTCGAAGTTCGACAAAAGCTTTAGGAAATTAATCTCAATTTCAACAGTATTTTCTGGATAATTTCCAGGTTTGCGAATTCAAGTATTATGGAGTGCATCAACAAAACGGAATGCGAGTTTCCCATTACCATGCTCTCAGATGAGACAATAATTGTGGAAGTGCCTACACGAGACGGGATAGAACACGAAGATGATGACATCACATTGCTGAAGAGCACTTGCAAGCCCAGAGTGGGTGTCTACATTATATTTCCGATATTGGTTTTGTTTTTCATATTGGCTTGTGCATTTGTGTAGGCATAGGACTTTTTTTTGATATTGTTCACTTTGATACGGGTATTACTTTTTGAACTTGGTGGCTGTCAAACTTTGGTCAATGAATTTAGAATTACTAGTCCACTAAAAGGACCGCTCTGAAGTAATAATCCAAACTATTTCATTATCACGAACCGTTTTCATCTCAGCCAGAGCTCTGTACAGGGTGCGCCTTAAAAAATGGAATCCCGCCTTAACATTTTCTTTTGTCAAACGACCCAAACTTTTATTTCGTGAAGTTGTTTCATTTACAGGATCATTCTTTTTTCCAGATAGTACATCAACTTTGATTTTTTCAATGGAACACCCTATATAATTTACGACATGTCAATAGAGCCTTTTTTTTCTGATTTCAAAAATATATATGAGTTGCATATTTGGATGAAAATAGTCGAGTTATTGATGATCAAAATTTACCAAAATAACGTTTATATATTGTTTAAGCTCCATCCAAATCATCAATCTCAATAAAAAAAAATATGAATAGACAGTTTCAATGGAAGATTCGGTATTTTGGTAAATTTTGATAATCAATAACTCAATTATTTTCCATCCAAATATGTAACTCATATAGATTTTGGGAATCAGAAAAACAGCGGCTCTATCGACATATATATATAGGGTGTTCCATTGAAAAAATCAAATTCAATGTCCTTTATTCCGGAAAAACAAATGACCGTATATGAATTAAGCAACTTCACGAAATGTGGGTCGTTCCAAACAATTTTTTAATTCAAAATTTTTCCACATCTCTGAAAACAAAAGAGTTAAAGGGGGGTTCCATTTTAAGGTGCACACCCTGTACATTTTTGAAATATTTATGGAAATCCACGATACTGGAATAATGAAATGATACTGGAATGGATAATGAAAACGCAGAAAAATGGGTGATGATATCAAGTATCAAGTACCCATTCTCTTCCATCTAAAGGCAAAACCAGAATTCATATTTCTGAATGCCCATATAAGTCTGCTTTGGCAATGACACTTTGACATAAACTAAAGCAGTCTCTTTGACTCTTTTGAAGGAAAAATCTTGCTTACTATCTTGTTAATAACAATCAGGCTTGTGATTGAATCTATTTGTAACTCCTTACCTAAAATGTATTATTTAGATACTCTGAGAATGAGGAAAAATTTTGTTTCATATAAACATACTTGTCCTAACTTACTTCGTTCTTGAGATATAGGGAGTCAAAGTTTTCAGGAAAATTTGAAGTTTCATTGATTATATTCAAAATCCTTATCGCTGATTTTGCTGGCATTTCCAGAAAAACCGGAAGTCCGCCATATTGGATTGTGAATTCATCAAATCCGAAATGGTTGCCTACATAATATAACTGTACGAAATTTCAGAAAAATTCGTTTACTAATGCAGCAATTAAAGGGGTGGCCAATATATACGACCCCGCCTGTGTCACCCGGTATAGCAAATACATTTGAGAAGTCATTAATGATTTTATTTCTGACAGTGACATTATAAGCTTATATCGTCATAGTTACGATATCTATTATGAGGGTCATAACTCCCTTGGGATGTTATAGATGCTATAATTCCCTCTAACTAAAATTAAATAAGGAATGCATAGCAACAACCACGAAGTAACGTAGCAATAAGGAATCTCCTATTCGCGGTAGTCAAGATCATCATCTGACGTTCTGATGACATTGAAACTATACGGAATAACATGTCTAACTTCCAATCGGGAAGGTATCTAATGAATAAAATCAGTCAGAAATAAAATTATCTATGTATCACGGGAATTACTGAGCCTCAATAACCTCAGGCAATTGCTGTCCCTCGGGCCAGAGGCCCTCGGGACGCAAACTTTGCCATCGGTAATTAAGGCCCTCATAATTCCCTTAATACATAAATAACTATAATATAGCCTATAAAAAACATTGTATTTGTTTTAAAAAAGTGTCATCGAAAAGTATACTACTCTATACCTACTATTTGACAAAACAGGACATTTTGTCATATATATCCTAGCTATATCTGTGTCAAGTCTGTGGTGTGACAGGGCACATACGTTCAGTATGATCTGACCATCAGTTTGACCAACCAGCTGTTTGGGAATATCGATCACGTTTTAAAGCTGTCCGCAAAGATACCACGTTATTTTTGATAGAAGTCGAGTCAACCATTGGCCATCCTGGTATCACCACTGTGGTCGAACGAATGACTTCACACAGCATATTATTTTATTCGCGGTCGCCAAGGTCATTAGATGACGTTGGGATGACATGAAAATTGCGGGAAAATATTCCTTACTCCTGGCTGAGACTGAACGTTAGACATGTATTTCCGTAGTTTTCATGTCATCGCAACGTCAGATGATGGCTAGGGCTACCCATATATGTATTAAAAGACTATATGGATCACGAGCACTCATTAATACACAAAAATTTGGAGCCACTTTTTTTGAACAAATGACTACGCATAAGCAGAAGCAATGTAATGCGCATGCTCAAAATTCTTCAATGTTGATAAAGACATATTGACGCATGCGCATCACTTCTCCAGCCGCTTAAGGATTTTGGCTTCACTCAGCGACGGTTGTGGCCCATACTCTTAATTAATAGATACATGGGGCTACCGCGAATCTATGCCAGGAGTTATTATGTTTTACCGCAGTTTTGAATGTCATCGCAACATCATCTGATGACCTTGGCGACCGCTAATAACAGAGGAAGCATTTAATCGCCATTATTGAAGTTGTTAATTTTTTTATTTTATATAGAGAGACATAAGGTAGAAGAAGTATTGGAAATATTTGATATCCGATGATATAAGGGTTTGAAAAAAACTTTGATATGTCGAATTTTTCTTTATACTTTTACTCATTTTTACAACCATAATTGTTTTGAACAATTTTTCTTTATTTTAATAACCCTCATATAGTATCCATCAGAATAATCAAATTTATTCGATACTCCTGCACGGTTATATTCAATGATATCTGCAAGATTTAAATGAGAATATTCTATTTTCTGAATAATAAATGTATTTATGTGATGTGTATTTTTATAAATAATTGTAAGTTATTACTGTTATGATGTATATATTCTAGTTGATGACTCCTAGCACCTAGCTGTTGATATATCTGTGATCTCCAGAGCATTTTTATTGAATACATTATATCCTAACTTGTTACCAATGTTACCATCATCAGTTAAATGAATAAATGCAGATATATTGTAACTACTTATCAAAAAAAATGACAAAGTTCCAAAAAACCATGGTGTTCTTGTACCCTTCCTTATATAGAGCCTGTATGAACACTGGTACCAACAACCTCAAGTCTTCTATGCCAATGGCATCTTTCTCAAATGATTTCTCTGGATTTATAAAATGTTCCTCCTTTCGGAAAACACCCTGTACTTATACGATTTCGTAGGTATTAATAATTTCTTTGTCAGGTTCATCGAAAAAAAAAAAAAGTAAAGAGTCCCACTTTGATCCCCACATCAGGTAGTAAAAACAATGCTCCTCTTGATTCAATTATTGTTCATTATTCCAAAGAGATGTAGATCATTTTATAATGAAATGCAACCCTTTAAAAACATTTATAAATATATTACATTTAATTAACTTATTAGACTACCACAGATTATAAATATAAAGTATTTAACCATAATCAACTATTCATCTATTTTCACTTTTAGTTTCATTTGCACATTTATACTAGGCTGTGGACGAAACTGCAAGTTTCTTAAGGTGATCCATAAAAACTTGCAACGAAACATCATCAGTCAATACAGGAGCACCCGAATCGCCCCCATAAGAATACATATTATTGTGCGTTTGACTCGGATTCACTTTCGAGAGCAAAAATCTCGCCTGCGATCCACCTTGCTCGGTATCAATATATCTTGGCATGGGGAATCTCGTTTGCAGAATTTCTTGCGCATCATCAACCGGAGCTTGAAGCAGCTGCCTGAAATTTTCATACTCCGGCATATCCTGATATTTCAGACTGCGCCACTGGGCAATCGTCTCCCCATGGAAAATGAGTATCTGGAAGAAAGTGTCCATGAGCAGGATTCTATCCGGCTGAATAGAGCTTGTGTCCAACAACACAGGCTCGGGCGGCCCGTTGAAGCTGTAACTGTACAAAATCGGCTGGATCATGATCAAAGACTGAGTCAAATCCTCCCGCATCAGCATGTGCCTATAAAAAGAAGTTTCATCGGGAGAATTATTGAACACCTGCAGAAACTGCGACCGTCTCAAATGGTACATGAACTGCGGATACAGACTGAAATTCTCCCCCAACCTGAACGAATTCGGATCGTCTTTATTGTACTCTCCGAACTTCTGGCACAGCCTGATCAACATCCTGTCCACCCATCTCAGCACATCGGGAGTCTCGTCCGATTCCGCCTTGTAACCGGCCATTCTGGCCATCACAACTGCCGCCGCTTCTTGGTCGAAGCCCGCGCTAATGTGGTGGATGTTGGCAGTAGCGTCCGCCCAATTTCTAGCAATCGTGGTCACCCTGATCCTCCTTTGCCCGCTCGCGTGCTGATACTGGGTGATGAGCTGGATGCAGCCCCTGCCTCCCTGCGGTATGGGCGCCGAATGCTGGTTAACCACCTCGAAGAACAGCGCCACAGTGGAGCTCGGCGCCAACGTGCACAGTTTCCACTGCACGGTGTTCCCCATGCCTAGTTCCGTATCGGAAACCAAAGGGCTTTTAACGTTCAAGGACACGCACGAGCCGATGCCCCCTTGGACTTTTAACTCCCTGGAACATTTCACCTCCAAGGTGGCGTTGAACGCCATCTTGAGGTCGTTCTTCGGGTCTTTTGAGAACACTCGCTGGAAGGTTTGTTTGAATAGAGAAGAATTGAAGGAATCGCCCATAACCATGTGCCCTCCGGTGGAATTGCAGCACTGCTTCATCTCCATCAGTCCCGTCTGATCCAGGGCGCAGGAGTAAATGTCTATGCAATGGCTGTTGGTGGCAGCTCGCATTGCCAAGTGATCATAATGTTTGATAGCCTTCTTCATGTACTTGGCATTGTCTTTGTGTATGTCATGATGGGATCTGATGGGCTGCTTCAAATCGTCGTTCAACACCTGACCGGGACCCTGAGAGCATGGTCCTCCTAAGAATATCATGATTCTGCCACCCGTATTCGGATAGGTGCATTCTAAGAGACCGACAGCGATGGACAATGCTGCGCCTGTGGATCTGAGAGGTCTTTTGCCCTGATGTACGGGCCAAGGGTCTTTCTGCAACTCCCCGATCAGATCTGTCAAGTTCATGTCGCATTTTGACACGGGCTGCAAAAATCTGCTCCCAGGTGGTACAGGGGCAGCTTGGGGATTCTGCCCTGGCCGCCCAGGTTGCCCTGGCTGTTGTTGGGGATTCGGTGATCCTTTTCCAATGCCCAACATCTCCTGGACTTGCTTGGCAGTGAGATCTTTCGTTCCACGGAACACGTACGACTTGCTGCAGCCTTCGGTACCCAGTTCGTGGACTTGCACCATTTTTCCGAACGTGATCAATCCAATCAAAGCGTTGGGCGGTAATAGGCTGAGCGACATCTGCAAAGAGTCCTTGAGTGCCGTCAGTTCCTCGTCGTCCATGCAGGTGTCGACGACATAGAGATAAATCGGCGGTAAGCACTGGGCCCTAGTGATGGTGTATTCTATTGTCGAGAACATTGGCATCAATTCGGCGGGCTGGTGCTGTTCCGATATTGCTGCGTATTGTGGAGGGAACTGAAATGAATAAAATATTTTATTTTATGTTTCAAAGTACAGATTTAACCAGTGTTATGGAACTATTGAAATACCCATGAAATATGTCTGAACTGTTAATTAATCAATCTCAATGTTCTCTTAAAAGGTAAATAGATTAGCATTTCTTAATGTTCTGTTTGGTATGTAGTGCGCGAATATAGGAATGCCCATGAATCACCCTGTAAGTGCGACGATGTTGTGAGATTGGCTCGTCTGCTATGAATCGCCCTGTATTTTGATGCGGAGCTGTTATGTTCTTGGAATAGTTTGCTGTTGGAGGTTTGGAGTTGCCCTGGAATGGGGACACCAAGTTTTGTTTCTGGTGGGTTCGGCGACTTGCGTCTGTGTAGTCTGCGTCATAAAATGGAATAGTGGTGGGGATTTCTCGTAATCTCGTGTGAGTCATATCAATGTTTTCGGATTGTGCTGATTTTTTTTAACTTGAGGAGGAAAGAACTTCAATGATCTTGAACTGATAGGATAACACAAAATGAAGAAGATAGCATATTTATATTAATGTTGTAAACACCACATTTTTATCATTGATGTAAGTGACGTCACTCTCTGATGCACCGAATTGTTGAAGTCATCAGCATTAAAAAAAAACGCAGTTATTTGACATGACAATCACAACTGATTTTTCCATTATTCATTTTTCTTTTCATGATCTGATGGTGATTTAGGTTGGTTTCAATTAGAAGATCAGAATTGGCGAAAATCAATATAAAATGGTAAATGATGTATAAAAAGTGTTATTGGACTTGTCTCCAGATCCAGAAGTTCTAACAGTTCTTCTGATAGTTCGGACGATGAAATATTGTTTATGTTCGGGAGTAGACGAGATACGTTGAAAATTCTCAACAACATATAAACAAAACATCGCATCAAATCATGATGATATGGATAGAGTCATTAATAAGAATTCTCTGTTGGTACCTACTCAACTTGTTTGAATTTTTGCACCAATTTCTTCAAATTCATGATGGATAAGATAAAAGTACCTACCACTTGAAATTTCTTAAATTTATGTTGATGTGAATAATGCAGCTATCCTTTTACTTTTATATTCTAGACTGATTTTGATTAATTCACTATATTTATTCTTAGGCAAACGGCAAACAGCTTTCAAATCCAATATTTTGATTTTAGTTATTTCAGGTTATGCTATCGTTGTCATTTTGGAAGCCACCAAACCGTTACCATCGAGATTAGAAGGCCAGCAGACGTAAACAGCTCGTGACGTCACCTAAGAGAGGCCAGTGTTTTACCGCTTGTCGACTAACGCGTCGCTTCGCGTTAATTCATCGGTGATTCGCGTGTTTTTGAAGCGGTCCCGAAATCTTTTGTTGTTTATTCATCAAAATAATTGGTGGAAAAATTACTTTTTTGTGAAATATTTTGTGTTATGATAGGCGAAATAACAATGCCTTTCAAGTGTTGTGTTCCCTTTTGTCAGGAGAATTATGTGGGTGTTCCAAAAATGCATGCTTTTAGTTTCCCGTTGGACAAGGAACTATAAAAAAATGAGGCACATGCAATTCACCGCGAGGATTTCACTCCATCTAAGTACAGTAGTAAACAGAGCTTAATTCATAATGATGAATTAATAATAGAAGACAATTACTCTCTCATAAAAAGTATGAGTAGAGGAAAAAGAGAAAAGCTTTGATTGTGTAGTTAGTTTTGTATTCGTATATTATATTCAACAAAATCATCTCTAAATTCGAGAAAATTTTCTTGAATGTTCATAATAAACGGGCATTTTCAACTCAATACATTCTCAAATTTCTTTCTGAAAACGGTCATTTGTCTCGTGGCAATGAATGCAGAATTCATTCCAATGATCAAATTGCAACTATCATATTAACATGTACTTCAAACACTCTACTTAAAAAGGTAAAACTGCATTTATCATGCGATGGTTTTTTTTTCAAAATTTTTTTTTGGTACTTACGTATTTTTGTCTGAAAAACACGAATTTGATAATGAAAATGTGAACAAACCATTATTTATTAAGATATTTGACTATAAAGTTAAAAATTTCACCTTCTTTCTCGCATGTGTCCTGGATGGCATTTAGAACAATTTTCCCTTCTTTTTTCATCATATTCAATTTATATTTATCACAATGTATGACACATCTTTTTCTATTATATGATTCAACTATAAATATGATTTTCTTCAGATTTATCCATATTTAGTGAAAGGAAGGAAGAATATCATTTGAAATAATGGCGTGTGTAATGTCATTCCAAAGCAATCTATTGACATTTGACATCTCCTATTTTGATTGACTATTGATTAAATGGCCGTCATCTGGAATGCTTGTTCACTAAATATGAAAAACTCGCCATAAAAATCATATTTTCTGTTGAATTTTCTATTAGAGGAGTAAAATCGGGGATAAAATGTGTCGTTTTTTTTTTTCGAGGTATAACCAAATCGGACCTATTAGATAATGTTCCTCATGTGATTTTCCATCATAGTCCAGCTAGACGACATTTTTCTGTGGGGACGAACTTTTTTATTCAAAAAAATACGAAAAAAGTTGGATATTCGAAAATCGTGTTTTTCTAAACATATTATTCAATATTTCGAGAACTACTCGAGATATTGATTTGCTTTTTCGTTTGATCGAAAGGAGATAATCTAGCGCTTCTCATCATGCCAATAGAATGATGTAATGAAATCGGGTTTTTTTCTGAATAAGTTGAGAAACTGAAATAGTGAAAACCGTGAGATGAAATTTTCACTGATCGAAAAACTTTTTTATTATTCGAATTCTTTATATACAATCAGCGAAGGAAATTGAGATAATGAGTCAAAAAAGTTTTTAGATTAAAAAAATTCGATACAATATGAAATAGTTTTGAAGGTATGATTTTTTAAAAACATGCTGATTCTGCGCCTCCGGTAACTGTTCGCGCTCAGCGCAATACCAGTGCCTACTCCCATAGATTAACGACTCCCGCTCCATCAGTGCACAATGTTATGATGAGAAATTGTTCTTATGATGGTTTCAAGGTCAATGATGCAAGTATAGAGGAAAATAATACTGCATTTCATATTTTTCATAATGGAAACGATTTCATAAGTTACAAAATATAATCGAGTTTAAACAAAACTATCAAACAAAAAATGATATTCATTTTAGTATTCTTCTTCATTTCCTGATTCTGGCTCAACTGGATCCCTGAATGTATTTCGGCAGTCTCTACATTTACATTCACTAGAACATTTCAACTCTTTCTTTCATGCATATACACTTATTATTTGTGCAGTTTTTATCGGCACAATGAATGGCCAGAATTTTTCTTACAGAGTTTGGAATAGGGTAGGAATAGCTTAGTAAAAACAGGGTTCCAACAATCGTTTTCGTGTTTCCAACAAAAATTTTCCAGATTTTCAGTAGGGATATATGGTAAAAGGGATGAATACCATATTTTCAATTGATATATACATCTAGAAATAATTGATTGGGAATGTGTTAGGTATCGGAAATTCTGCCATGTGTTCTTTATTATTCCTGCAGCTTTATAAAGGATTTGCATTTCGGATTCTACGTTTGAATCGTTGAAAAATTCGGATTCTTTTTCGGAGCTATTGGATCCTGACGACTTAAATTGTTCTGCGAAATTTTCTTCACTATTTCTTTGAATGTCTTGGTGATATAATTGCTGATGTTTTTTCTCTTTCGACTGATTTATAAATGATTCAATATTCCTTGGGGCAAAATATTGACTGTAACAAGATTTGTGATACTTTGCATCATGAGCAAATAACAAGAAATTCCTATAATTCGATAGCATTTATTAAAATGGCTATCGTTAAATAAAATCAACTATAAATCATAATTTTGTATTCATCCTGATTCGTAATTTTGGGTTTGAATATTTCTACACATTATAATTTAAAAATAAAACATGTCCTATTTATATCTATATTTTTAGTCAAATCGTCACGAAATGATGTATACTTATTTCCCGAATGATTGACATTCAGATCAGTTCATAATAATTGATATTCTACTCATAGTATGCTTTTTTTGATATGGCAAATGAATAATGAGATTTCTAAAGTTCGTTCATTTCAAATGAAAATTATTTCGAGATTGTTCAAAAAATATAATATTATTGAATAATGATATATTATTATCCTTATTGTTTAACTCTTCATTGATATTGAGATCTCAATGAAATATTTTCGAATGTCCTTATAATTCGAAAACATTTTCACATAGGTACCTACCTGTTTGAACAGATACTAATTTCTGATGTTTCCTCTTTCCGCCCCTATCACAATCACAAATGATACACATTCTTCCAATATCAATAATGACATTTGCATTCCGAGTTGATGGTCCCGCTTTTGTATTTTTCTGGCAACCAGTGAAATTCGGCAATATTTGAATATTGTGCATGCTGGTGTAACTTTTTCTACAATCATTATGGTAAATATTTTTTTTTTCCCAGACAGAATCAACTCTCTTCGCATAACATTACGGGATCCACAAATATCATTTCTTCTTTCCGCTGCTGATAATAACGAGAGCAGGCCTTGTATCCGTGGATTTTTCGTAATATTTTTATCATTATATGATACACTCTTTTCGCGAATGACACTGCATCTTCAACAGATTGTTGCATACTGCCCTACAACCTATAACTACGCTCTATAGTCGCGCCAACACGCTCTTGTCGCGAAAGGCATATTCATGCCATGCGTACCTACATCTTTGAAAAATCATATTTCGAAAACTATACTACATATACAAATTTCTGTTATTTCGAAAACTTTCATGACTATTTGTCAACATTTTATTCGCTGCATATATACAAAAAAAATCAACAAGAAAAAAGTTTGTCGATTGTTGAAAAAAATATAACATGAAAAGTGATATCTGGCGTTCTCAATCAATTTACAAAAAACTGATGATGATTTATACTGTAATCATACCATCGTGAGAAGCAGAAAAGATT